GGGGGGGGTGGGGGCAGGAGGTGGGAGCAGGCATCAAGGTGAGATGTTGGGGCGCTGGGCTTTGATGGGCTGATGCTCCTGCTTCCCTTCTAGGCAGCAGAGTGCAGGGTTCAATGCAAGTAAAAGGCAGCTTTGAACCGCATCCCTGTTGTGAGGAATGGAGGTGAAGGCTGTCAGCAGTGCCGGGGACAGCGATAGCTGTGGGAGGGGGAACCGAGGCCATGGAGGGGTGGCAGAAGGGATGAGGGTGGCTGTTGCTTGCTGATGCCAGGAGCCAGAGCAGCCTCAGGAAAGGGATGAAGAAGGTAATTTGCAGTTTCACATGGAGCCCTGGAGAAAAATCACAGCCCATCCAGGATGGATGTTCCAGGGTGAAACAGGCTTGGGGGGTGTTGAGGGGTGGGGAGGAGGCACAGGGGTGTTTGGTGTCTCTCAGAGGGTCTGGCTTGCACTGTCCTTGCTTGCTTCTGCGCATAGAGGGACAGCAGCTCCCCCTGAGCGGTAACTGTTTCTCCTCTCTCCCTGGGATGTCCTTTCCCACCTGCCCAACTCCCACCGCCCCGCTCCTGGCTGCACCCGCTGCTGTAAGTAGCTGCTGTTGGTAGGGTCCCCTGTGCCTGCTTGAGGTGGTGGGATGGCTCTGCCACACAGCCTGTCCTTGGTGCTCCCTCCCCTGCGAGTCTCCTGGCCTCTGGGGGAAAGGAGCAGGGCTTACCCTTGGGTTTCTCACGTGTGCCGCTGAGGCTCAGTCCCCAGCCTGAGCAGAGCTCTGTGTGTGGCCCTGCCATGGAGGGCCGAGCCCCTGCCAGAGCCAGAGCTGCTGGGGTCACCCTTCCACTCCCCTCCGCTGCACAGCCCACTGCCGCTGCCTTCCCCTGGCAGTAACCCACCGAGAGCCCTTTCCCCACTGGGACTGAACCTTCCTCTATCCCCTCCCACCTGTGCGGTTATAGCCCTCCGGGTGATGGGACAGCCTGGGGCACAGGGGCACGGGGAGGTCGGTAGCACTGGTGGTACTGGGGCTGGGGTGAGCACTGTGCAGGAGCCAGAGCTTGTCGTGGTGCTGGGGGTTATGAGCCATTTGGGTCCCCTCCCAGCCACATCAGCAACAGTTCCTCTGTTTGTCACTGTTCCCAACATCTGCCTCTGCACCCTTGTCTCCAGGAGGTGTCAGCAGTTTGAAAATGGATTATTCCCAGCTCTGCTCCATGCTGTCCCAGACATAAATTGCTGGTGGCCACTGGGGAGAGGGGAGGGAAGAGGATTTGCCTTCATCCCAGGGCAGATCTTTGCAAGTCCTGCTGGCAGGACTCAGGGTCCTCGTTACAGCTCTGCCTGCTCCTTTTGCAGACAACCTCCCTGCAGCCACGAAAAGCAAAACCAGTGAAGACATCGCACAGTCATCCAAGTATAGCCCTGCCTACTCCCCGGACCCGTACTACCACTCCGAGTCAGAGTACTGGTCCTTCCAAGGCTCCCCCAAAGGTAACAGCCCCCCATTGGGCTGGGGGAAAAGGAAACCCATTCTTGCCCCCAAACCCAGCCACTCCCTGGGAGGGAACCCCTGCCCTGAGTTGGGTCTGGACCCAAAGGTGGGGTTGGGCCAAGATAACCTCCCAAAGTGACCCCAAAATCCTAGCAGCCCTTGGGACTCAGCTGTCCCCATGCAGCTGGGGACTGTCTCCTCCCTACCTGCCTCCACCTTCATCCCCAGCTGACCCTGCCATGTGTCTCCTTGCAGCCCCCCGGGCCCGGAGGTTCTCATCAGGAGGCGAGGAGGACGGGTACGACCGGAGCATGCACAGGGTGAGTGATCTCCCTGCCTGCAGCCTGGCAGGGGAGAGCCAGCAGTAAGCTGCCCCTGTGGCGGTTGGCTTTGGGGTTGGCCCAGCTCCGCCACCCAAGAAGGGGCTACCACCGTCCCTGCTGCCCTCTGGCATCTCTCCCCCCTTGGCTACCCCTAACACGGGGTCTGAAGGAGGGGGAGTGCATCTCCTTGCCAAGGCACCCCACCCCAGCACCTCGTCCCCAGGGATGGGGGAGCAGATGGGAGATGCCGAGCCCATGCCAGGAGGTGCCATGCCCTGCCGTGATGTGCCAGCGGTCAGGGAAGGCCGGGCAGGGAAAGGAGGGGTGCGAAGCAGCTTTCCCCCCCCTGCCCAGATCCAGAGTGGCATCGGCAGGCTGATCCTGAGGGAGGAGATGAAGGCTCGGTCCAACTCCTATGCAGATCCCTGGACACCCCCTCGCAGCTCGGCCAGCAGCAGAGAAGCCCTGCACACAGCTGGCTACGAGGGCTCCCTCAACGGCTGTAAGGACGACCCTGTCCCTCTGTCCGTCCCACCCGGCATGGTCCCAGCCCCTTGTGGGAAGTTTGCTGGGGTGGAGAGGGAAGAACAGGGCACTGGGAAGGGGTGGTGGGAGAGGTGCTGGGCACCAGAGTTGGACTTGGGAGGCTCTCTTCCTCTGGAAGGCTCCATCCATTCCCTGCGCCCTGGCTGGGGTGGGGCATCGCCCGGCGGGTGTTGGCAGTCTGTCTGGGCAGCCTGGTGAAGTGCCTCATGGGGTGGTTGAAAGGTCCCTTGGGAATCTCACAGCACAGCCACACTGGGTTTGCTCTGACCCGTTTTGGGCTTGCTGCGTGTGTACCTCCTCATTAACAGCACATCTGGGACCTCCTGGCACCCCAGACCTGCTGGCTGGCCCCAGGGTTGCCTTCCTTGCTTGCGCTGCTCTCACTGCACAGCACCCTGGGCACCCAGCCCTTCTCCCCTCAGAGCTGCAGGGGGGGCTTTGGGGGGGGCGTTGGGGAGCCTGGCAGCACAGATGCCCCTGCCCACTCCGTGCTCTCCTTCCTCATGGCACATCTGCCCTCACGGAGCTGGGGCTGTTTGGAGATGCTCAGGGAGCCCCTCAGCCCCTCTGGGCTCCTGGGAGCCCCGAGGAGGACCCACAGCGCTGGCTGCCAGGGCAGCTCTGCATGGCATGGGGCACTCGTTCCTCCCTGATGCCCGGCTCTGCTCTCCTTGCAGCTCCCCGGATGCACTACCTGGCTGACAGCGGTGAGTTTGTGAGCCTGCAGCCCTCTGCGGCTGGTCCCTGGTGGCTGTGGGGTCCAGAGCCTGAGCTGGAGGAGATGCTGGGACCAGGGAGGGAAGAAGGGGAGAGAAGGAGCTCTTGAAAGGCTGGGCCAGGGTAGAGCTGAACCAGGGCAGAGCTGGTGGCAGTGCCGGGAGAGGATGAGTCAGAGAAACTGAGAGAGGAGATTGTGTTGCGCTGAAGGGTGAGGCTGGAGGGCTGCCATGGGAAAGGGATTTTGGGGAGAGGAATATCAGCACGGGAGGAAGCCAGGTTGGAAATGAGTTGGAGCTGGAAGGAGACTGGGTGAAAGTGGAGCTGGGTAGTGATGTGGGAGCACAGAGGTAGGGTGGCCCAGCGGGTGCTCTCCCAGGGTGTGGGTCTCACCCCTGCATTTTCCCTTATGCACCTTGGTGGCTTCTTTGCAGATCCCCTCATTTCTAAGTCAGCCTCCCTTCCTGCCTACAGGAGGAACGGGCTGCACAGGGTAAGTGCCTCCTGCCTGCATCCTGCTGCTGCCAGGCATCTCTGCACCCTTCATCGTTCTCCCCAGGCTCCTCAAAGCCCCTGGTGCTCCCCTTTCATGACTAGGGTGTCCTGCTCCCCCCTTCTCTGCACCCCTGCTGTCACTGCTGGTCTGTGCCAATCCAAAATGACCCGTATTTGGGACCAAAGTGCCCTGTCCAGGCACTGCAGGACAGAGGTGCCTGCCCTGAACATCCTGCAGGGAACGTTTCAGAGGGATGCTGGTGTTGCTTCCCAGCATGAGAGCTTTGCTTTATACCCTGGGGCAGTGATTGCTGGGGGTTGGGAGGTCCTGCCTCCGTGTGACCTGGCTTGTCACTTCACCTCCTTGTGCCTCAGTTTCCCCACTGCCAGGTGTGGGGAGCGGGTCCTACTTTGGGGTGGGTGGGTGCTTTCCCCCCCCCAGGGACATGGGAGGTGCTGTGCTGAGCATCTGGAGGGAACCCCCTCTTACTCTTCCCTCCCTGTATCCCTCCCACAGCCTCCCAGTGCCGAGCTTTTCCACTACGACAGCACAAATGCCGTCAACTGGGGGATGCGAGGTAAGGCACCACGGGGCTGGGGAGCAGTGCGGGCAGGCGACCCTGTAGGCACAGAGCCAGACGCTGTGGGGGTGCCTCCCCCACCACAGACAGCTCTGGAAAATTGAGGTCCAGGCTGGAGGGCGAATGGGGGAGATAGGTGGGGGTCCCTGCAGCCCCAGGGGGAGGATCCTGGCAGCAGAGGGGTCAGCGTGGCTCATGTCTCTCTTGTCTTTTCTCTCTCCCCACAGAGTACAAGGTAAGATGCTCCCGCTCCAAGGAACGGCTGCCAGCTGGAGGTGCGAGTACGACCCAGAGGGAGTCCCAGAGACGTGTTCATGTGTCCCCAGGCCCTTCAGGAGGAAGCTTTGCCCTCTGCCTGCAATGCCCTACCTTCATGCCCCTCCATCCCCGACCTGACAGCCCTGTCCCAGGACTGTGGGGCTCAGACCAGAGCTCTTCCCCTCCTGCCAGGGTCCCAAGCACTGGGCCAAGCAGAAGTGTCTCCTGGGTGAGGAACAGAGAAGGGTGGCTGTACTGGTGCTTCCCTACTCACACTCATCCCTGGGTCACTCCTGGTTTCACAGCGTGAGCAGGCTATTCCAGAGCCACCAAGGTGATTCAAGGTGGATTAGGGTCACCCTGAGAGCAAGTCGCCCCTCTGCCTTGTCCCGTCCATGCTCTGGAGGCAGCTGTACCACCCAAACCCTGCTAAACCCGGCAGGAGGAGGCTTTGCCCTGGTGTGCACACTTCATTCCCAGGTGTGCCCCAACTGTCCTTTTCTGGCTCTGGAGCTACCCCATGGTCTTCCTGTCCCTCTGCAGATATACCCCTATGAGCTGCTCCTGGTGAAGACGAGGGGGAGGAATCAGCTGCCCAAAGATGTGGACAGGACTCGGTTAGAGGTGAGGAGAGCCTTTTCCACCAGGGACAATCTCCTCGGGGCTCAGACGGACCTGATCCCGTGGGGTGTCCCCTTAGCCCTGGCAGGCAGCGTGGGGCTGCGAGGGGCTTGTGGACGTGTGAGGAGCATCTCCACGGCTCCCCAAGAGCACACATGTGCCAACACACTGTCATGGTGGTCCTGCTGCTCTGCTGGCCAGGCAGAGCTGTTCCCAATGCCCACAGCACGAGTGCGTTTGGCAGGAGCAGGACGGAGTCTGGTGCTCCCCCTCTCCCGAGTGAGCACTGCTGAGGGTTGTAGCACCCCATTGCACCCAGCCGGGCAGAGGATGCCGTCAGACCCCCTTGCGTGCCTTCCCACCCCTCTGCAGCCATATGGCCCGCATGGTGGCTGTTGGCCCTGGGTGGTGGCCATGGTCCCCAGCCCTCGCCCAGCATCCCATCTCTCCCCAGCGCCACCTCTCCCAGGAGGAGTTCTACCAGATCTTTGGCATGACCATCGCTGAGTTCGACCGCCTGGCCCTGTGGTAGAGGAACGAGCTGCAGAAGCAG